ACCCCTCCATCTCTCCATCCCTCTACCCCTCCATCCCTCAACCCTTCATCCCTCTATCCCTCAGCCCTTCATCCCTCCATCTCTCCACCCCTCCATTCCTCAACCCTCCATCCCTCCATCTCAGGAGCAGCAATGTTCGCCCCCCCATCCCTCCAGCCCTCCACCCTCCATCCCTCCTCTCTATGTTCAGTCATCAATAGCACTCAACATTAAAGGTAAGTTCTTGTGTGTATGTAAATTTTCACATTTTACTATACATTTCATTCCCTTTTTGTTAAATTTTCATTTACATTCCACATTCTTTTTGTTTTTAAAGTTTTTATTTATAGATTAAACAGGACATTAGACATGTACTATGTATAAGAAAGGTTAAGACAGGGAATTATTTGGGGGCCAGGAAGGGATTAATTCAATTTACATTATTTCTAATGGGAAAAAGTGATTCTGTTTTTTAACAAATCGCTTCTCAACCAGCTTCCAGAACAAAGTAAGTTCGAGAACCGAGGTTCCACTATAAAGCATAAAAATCACACAAACTTATCAATAGATATAGGAAAAGTATTTGATAAAATACAACATCCATTTATGATTAAAATAACCAATAAAATAGGTATAGAAAGAAAGTACCTCAACATACTAAAGGCCATATATGACAACCCTCAGCCAATATCATACTCAATGGTGAAAAACTGAATGCTTTTCCTCTAAGATCGGGAACAAGACAAGGATGTCCACTCTCACCTCTCTTATTCAGCATAGTGCTGGAAGGCCTCGCCAGAGCAATGAGGCAAGAGAAAGAAGTAAAAGGCATTCAAATAGGGAATGAAGAAGTATTGCTTTTTGCAGATAACATGATTCTTTATTTAAAAAACCCTAATGACTCCACAACAAATTGATTAGAAACAATAAACAAATGCAGTAAAGCTGCAGAATAAAAAATTGACATATAAAAATCCACTGTATTCCAATATATCAACAAATACATTTTAGAGAACAAAATGAAAATAACAATTCCTGTTGCAATTGTAACAAAAAGTATGAACTACATAGGAATAAACCTAACAAAGGATTTGAAGGACCTCTATATTGAAACTTACAAAGCATTATGAAAATAGATAGAAAAAGACAAGAAATAAACATATATTTCATGTTTATGGATTGAAGGAATCAGCACAGTTCAAAGGTGCATATTGCCCAAAGCAAAATGCAGATTTAATGCAATCCCATCAAAATACTAATAACATTTTTAAAATAAATAGAACAAAAAATGATCAGATTTGTATGGGACCACAAAAGACCCTAAATAGCCAAAGCAATCCTAAGGTGGGGGAAATAAAGCCAGAGGCAGCACACGCCCTGATTCAAATGATACCACAAAGCAACAATAATCAAAGCAGCATGGCATTTGTGGACAAAACTGACACAGACACAAATTAAACAGAATTGAGAATCAAAACATAAACCCACATGTATATGAGCAAAAACATTTTGACAAAGGAATCAAAACATATTATGGAGAAAAGAAAACCTCTTAATAAATGGTGCTATGAAAAGTTTAAAGCCACTTGCAAAATAATGAAACTCAACTACTGCATGTCCCCATACACAAAAATGAACACAAAGTTAATGAAAGACCTAAATATAAGAACCGAAAAAATAAATTACATAGAAGAAAACATTGATACTAAACTTATGGACCTTGTTCTTAGAGAGGATTTCATGAATTTGGCCCCTAAGTCAAGGGAAGTAAAAGCAAAAATAAATGAATGTGACTATATCAAACTGAAAAGCTTCTGCATGGCCAAGGAAACCATCAACAAAGAAAAAAGGCAGCCAACTGAGTAGGAGAAGATATTTGCAAACAAAAGCTTCAACAAGGGGATATAGCCAAAATATAGAAAAAACTCATACAAGTCAATACCAAAAGCAACAACAACCCACAAACAAACAAAAAACCTGAACATTTCTCCTAATAAGACATACAAATGGCCAACAGATATATGAAAAGATGCTCAACTTCACTAGCTATTTTGAAAACAAAACTACAAAGAGATACCTCCTCACACCTGTTAGCATTTCCCTAATTGCCAGTGAAGTTGAACATATTTTCATCTACCTATTGGCTGTTAGTATGTCTTCTTGGGAGAGGTGTATTTTCAGGTCCTCTGCCCACTTTTTGATTGGATTGCTTATTTGTTTGGTGTTGAGTTTTATGACTTCTTTATACATTTTGGAAATTAAACCTTTGTCAGAGCTACTGTTTACAAATATCGTCTCCCATCTGGTTGGCTGCCTGCTTGTTTTGTTGTCAGTTTCTTTTGCTGTGCAGAAGCTCTTCAGTTTGAAATAGTCCCATTCATTTATTATTGCCTTTACCTACCTTGCCTTTGGGGTCAAGTCCATAAAATGTTCTCTACCACCCAGGTCCATATGTTTGGTATTTATATATTTTCTTCTATGTAACATAGTTTTGGGTCTTATGTTTAGGTCTTTGATCCATTTTAAATTAATTTTTGTACACGGGGATAAACTGCAATCCAGTTTCATTTGTTTGCATGTGGCTTTCCAGTTTTCCCAGCACCATTTATTGAACAGACTATCTTTAATGTGCATTTCTGGCTCCTTTGTTCAAAATTATCTGTCTATATATGTGTGGTTTTATAACTGGGCTATTATGTTCCATTGATCTGTGTGTCTGTTTCTCTGGCAATACCATGCTGTTTTGATTATGTAGCTCTGTAGTATAATTTTAAGTCAGGTAGTGTGATACCTCCAGCTTCATGTTTTTTTTTTTTTCCAGGATTGCTTTGGCTTCAGGGTCTTTTGTGGTTCTATACAAATCTGATGATTTCTCATTCTATTTCTTTAAAAAATGATATTGAGATTTCAATGGGTATTGCATAAAATTTGTATTGCTCTGGGTAATATGGCCATTTTAACTATGTTGATTCTTCCAATCCATGAATACGGGATATTTTTTCCATTTTGTTGTGTCTTTTTCAATCTCTCTTAATGTGTTTTGTAATTTTCAGTATGTAGGTCTTCCACACTCTTTGTTATGTTTATTCCTAGGTATTTTATTCTTTTGGTTGCTATTGCAAAAGGAATTGTTTTTCCATTTATTTTTCTGAAATTTTTTTGTTGGTACACAGGAAGGCAATGGATTTGTGTACATTGATTTTGTATCCTGCAACTTAACTCTGTTTATTATTTCTAGTAGCTTTTTTAGTAGAGTCTGTAAGGTTTTCTATATATAGCATCATGTCATCTGCAAAACATGACAGTTTGACTTCTTCCTTCCCTATTTGGATGCCTTTTATCTCTTTCCCCCCGATTTCGATGCCTTTTATTTCTTTCTCTTGACTTATTGCTCTGGCTAGGACTTCCAGCATTATCCTATAGAATAAAAAGGGAATATGCTAATTTGTCTCTGACAGTGTCCCCTAACGACCTATTTGCATATTGATGTGCATGCAGCAGGAGGCAGGCAGCTGGAGCCAAGTTCCTGGGGTTCTGAGGAGAGCACCTGACAGGAGCCCAGACTGCACAGAAGGAAGAGGAAGCAGCCATGGGGAGCTCTTCCAATCCCCCTGCACAGACACCCTACCCCAGCCCCCACACCCCCGGGGGTTGCTGCAGTCTGCACCTCTGACTCCCAATCTCTTCCCCTGCCACCCCACCAGGGGTGCCCACAACAATAGCTGCTGGCAACCACCTGTCAGTGCCCAGAGGCACCCGGACCCACAGCCCGTCACTGCCAGGCCCCTCCACTGGGGCCAGGCATGCCTCTCCTCCCTCCAACTCTAGACCTGGGGGGAGGCAGGCCTGAGCGACCCCTTCCCCAGGGTCAAACCCTTCCCCCTGCCCCCCCCTCTAACAGCAGCAGCGCTGTCTCCACAGCTGAAGCTCACTGAACCTTGCTGGGGGCATGGCTAAACCCACCCTCCTAGCCCACCTGGCTCTGCCCTGGCCCAGCCCCCACCCTGCTCCAGGAGATTGGAGCCCTGCCCTGAACAGGTATAGCTGTGAAACAGCCACATACAATTTAAAGAATGGTGCCAAGTGGGAAGGTTTGAAGTTACTCCCCCTTTGGCCTCACTGCCCCCCTAACTCTCTGCCCCCCGGCCAGTGCCTCCAGGGATGACCAGCACTACAGGGCTGCTGGCCAGAGCCTGCCCCTCTGATGCTTGTGGAAGCCTCTGCAAAGATTCCATAACTACAGTCCCAGGAAACGATCATGCCGTCCTCCCCTAATCAGCACCTCCTACCTGCGAGGGTACCTCTGGGCAGTTGGGAGCGAGCAGGCGGCAGGGGGGGCAGTTGGGGGCAAGCAGGCTGGCGGGGGGAGGGGGACAGTTGCGGGCCAGCAGGCCTGATCAGGTAGGCAGGCGACAGGAGCCAGCAGTCTTGGATTGCGAGAGGGATGTCCGACTGCCAGTTTTGGGCCTCAACAGCAGTT